CTTCCAAGTTACGTACGTACGTACGTGCTATACCTGTGACCGTAACGAGTTTCGGAAGGTACTAATCCGAAAACAAGAGTTTTCCGAAACCTAAATCTTGAAAAATCGAAACCTTTGAGTCACAAGTATAGCACGTACATACATACAATCGTATCATTTATGTATGTACGTACGTACTTACGTACGTACAGTACATATTTTTTGAGAATTAAATCGATTCTAATTGCAAAATCTTTACAAGAAAATTCCAGAGAAATAATGATTTTGTTGATTATGATTTATACATGCAACACCTTAGAATTATTAAGTGGACTTTTAAATCATTAATTCTATAATTTATGGTCAATCAATCATTCGATGACACATTTTATAGCGATAGATTCATTTAAGGACGATGCTTTAAAATGCATGATGTGCACATGTTATAACATTATAGACACGTGAGAAAGGAAATTTTGATATTGCAGGATTAGAGAAATGAATATGACGAATACATGTTTCAGTACTATCCACCAAAAAAAGTAAGTGCTTGAATATATGCGTCACAAAGTTTTTAACCAGATTTGATATATATTTACAATACGAGAATATAACGATAAGACAAAGAGAGAATTAAACCCCAGTTTTTTTTTTTTTTTTTTTTTTTGTTATTAAGAGTAGTGACGCATTTATAGTTTTAATTGGTATTGATTATCTTACTATAAAGTAAGCATTTTTTACTGGTCAATATTCTGATAAGCATGGCTTATTTTTATCATAATTAATAATTCTTTGATTTCGTTTAGTTATATCTAACTCATTATTTCTCAAAAGAAAAAAAACGTATAATTTTACTTATCTGTACTCGGTTTACTATACCCTTCATAATTTTATTATATTTTTGATTGTTGCACATTTTATATACACTTTTTTAATAGAATATCAGGTACAAACATGGGTCTCGGACAGTCCAAGAGCATGCTAATAAACAGTAATAATAAATTTAAAACAAACAAAACAGAAAGACGAAAAAAATTCCGCTCTTGGACAATCTTGTCAGATAAAGATAGAAATCTCAACGAAATTTGGAGTTTTAGCAGCGGTGGTAAAAGAATTCATAATAATAGCTTAAGAGGCTCTAAATTTTCGAACCTTATTATTGATGAGGAGGTGAAAAGACTAGAAAGACGACATCAATTATTTAAACGAATTTGGCAAAATAATTTTTCTGCTCCTGTTGACGAAAATTTAATGGCTGGTGGAGCTAAAGTTCTAGAGATTGGGTAATTTTGAGGAAATTTTCATCGGCCAAATCATTTATCGATAATAATATATATATATATTTTATAGATGTGGACCTGGTACATGGACGACTGAGATGGCTAAATCATATCAATCATCTACATTCACTGGTGTAGATATGATTCCATTATTCCCACAAGAAAAGAAACCCGAGAATGCAAAATTTCTTCAAGCAAATGTACTTGACGGCTTACCTTTTTTAGACGATACGTTTGATTTCGTGTATATGGGTCTATTGGTAACTGCGTTCACTGCCACCGAATGGGGAAAGGTTATTCCTGAAATAGTAAGAGTAACAAAGCAAGGTGGTTGGATAGAATTTATGGAAAGTGATTTTCAATATCACAATGAAGGTCCTACAACTGCACGTTTAACTGAATCTTGTATGTATACCGATACTGTTATGAGTGCTGTTCAAATCCCGACTCTCATAATCCTCGATCTCTCAAAAGCCATATTCACAATTCATTATCCTGATAACTCATCATTCAATTATTAACGTTAAATTTTAACTGTTAGATAATTATTATAAAATTATTATTCATCCTAAAAATTATATTGTAAATTGCTAGAATCATGAGTTATCAGGATAAATTGTCGGGATTTCGGATGTCAGGCTTTTTTTTAACAATTGGGATTATGAAGCTCGAGACTTTAGTGAATTCATATTTGTCGCGTGAGCATTTTATTATTCTAAACTATAATTTGTTTGTGGCGTAGTAAAATTATTCATGAAATCAAGGGGAATTGTCGAACCTCTGGATTTACATATACTTAAAACCATGGAAGCGAACGAAAAAATAGATAAAAACATTAGAACTGAAGAAAGATCTTGTTTTGTTGGGAAATGGGCAGGTGAACTTGGCCAATTGGTAAGTTTTATAAACTCGATGATTGCCCATTTTCATATTATACATTTATTTATATTTAATTAATTTTGGTATTTATAGGCTGTTGAAGATATTACCAAAGGATGGTCTGCTGTCAAATTACCAATGACGAAACTAATGAAAATAAAATCTCGCGAATACGATGAAATAATAGCAACTTTTGCCAAAGAAGTTGAACAAAATAAGACATATTTTAAGAATTGGCGATTTTTTGGTCAAAAGATTGTTACTACCCCTGCATTCAACATAACTACACCATGGTACCAGTAGAACTTATATTTTATATTTAATCTTAAATTATAGATTTTTATTATAGATCTTTATTTTTTCGTGGTGTAAGTTTTAACTAATATCACGAATAAATATTTCCTTAAATAAACAATATACATATATAGAGCTTTTAATCATTATAGATTTTTATTTTTTTCGTGGTTTAACTTATATCACGAATAAATATTTCCTTAAATAAACAATATACATATATAGAGCTTTTAATCATTATTCCTTATCCAGACCTATTAATGTTAGGTGAAATCTTGGCAGAGATTATTTATCAATGGCATATAGTAAGGAATGTAGAATCCTAACTATTAAGGTTTGCGGAATATGAATGAGCGCTGTTTAATAGAAAATGAGAATGTATATGTCTAATAATTACACGTAACAACGCCCATAGCTGACGTTACAGGGCATCACGTGATTAGAACGGTTAACTTTCTTGTATTGTTCCGCATGTTGTATAAAGATTTTAACAGCGCCAATTTAAATACTCATGTGATGTACTCGAAGAAGTAAGAAGCATCATATTCTTTTAAAATGTCACCATTAAATTATATATTATCAAATTATTATATATTATAGTAATCATTTCACAAAATAAACCGAATCGAAATATTTGGCTAAATTCTGTCCGTTCAAATTTTAAAGCTTTAGAAAATATGGTTGAAGACATTAAAAACTTGAAAACCGCGGATTTAAATCATAATACAATGTATTGTTCATATAATTCAACTTTTAATTATTTTTATATGTGCACGATGCTAAAGTGTTTAGTTAAACGAAAAAAAATTATTAATCATCGCTAAGTGCATAATATAAATTATCATCGCATAAAAAAAAAAAAATTCGCTGAATTATCGGAACTTCAATTTCATGCATAAATGACATCAGCTACATTTTTTTATGGGCGATACTAGGTTGGCTGTACATGACCGGAGAAGAGACGTCGCTCAAACAAAAAAAAATTTTATCAAATTTACAATTCCTCCGATAATAAATATACAACGATATTATTATTATTTCTTAAAATAAATATATCAGCTCTGTACTTAACCTCGATCAATATCAGGACAATTTGCAAATGCAAACTCTAACTTTCTAACTAATTCTTCTTTCGAATTATTTGGTGGAATAATAAGCCTATTGAAACACGTACGAGCCTTAGGCAACGCACGTTCATCCAAAGCAGAATCTCTAAATACCTTGAGATTTAAAGCTTCAAACCCTCCAATTGGAAGCTTCGAGCTTCCCGTCGCAAAGCGTAAAAATCGCTTTCGGCTGTCTGTATCATAATCCGCCATTATTTGGATTACTTTCTCGACTTCTTCATTGCTAGTGTTTGCATCATATGACTGAACAAATTGCCTCAGTGTTTCTATACTCCAATCTCCATCACCTCCTTGATGTAGAAAATATAACGCGAACTCTGTCGCAGTATATTCTCGCATGACTTCGATGGGAAATACCCGGTTAAAACCTTCTTTGAAAGCTTTGGTTTGCAGAGCTATTCCACGATCGAAAAACCAATCTCTACATGCTGCGATGTATCGACCTATGTTTATACGCGTTACCCATTCATCCGAATCATTTCCATGATTAACGCTATATGGTTGCTCTCTTTTTTTCCCGTCGGATCCAACTACCGACGTCGTACGACCAGTCATAATGTCGTATGGGATGCAATCTTTTTCGTCAAGTTCATTATTATTAAGTATTTTCTTGAGGTTAGATCCAAATGATGGATAGACCGACTCTATCAACTCAATGATCTTCAAACAATCTTGCTCGTTTAGATCAGTTCCACTTGGAAGTTTGCGCAATAAATGTTCGGGATGTAACAAAAAATCGATAAAAGTTCTGTTCAGTCTTAATATAATCATTCGATCATCGTATATAACCTTCGCAACATATTGACCAAGAAGTTTAAAGCTTTCTAAGACACTCAATTCTTCACTCTTCAAATTTTCTTTCTTAGATATTTCATTTGAATCATCCACTGATTCCATTCCTTCTTTCGATTCCCCATCTGTTTTTTCATCAAATAGATCATTCATCAAAGCAGGATATAATCCATTATCATTATCAATAGGATCTGTTGGTTTGTAGGGTTTTTTGTACTTTACATCATGAACCCACATTTTCCGGCAAATTTGTGAAAATTCAAGGGATAATTTAGAAAAAAATTCACGAGCTACACCATCCCCAATCCCACCAACTCCTTCAAATTGAACGCTGAGTCTTGACCCTGTAACCGCATATTTTTCAAAATATTGACGAATCCACCCAAATAAATTGTCCATGGATATAGATGGTGTTGCCTGCATAGGTCCGGGAAGAACTTGACGAATCAGATTTAACACCTTACGAGCATTATTAATGTCTATTCCAAACCTTTCGGGATAAAGTAGACCGAAGGTCTTACCAATAAAGAATTCATGACGCTTCATCGGATTAAGTACAAATGGAACCTCTGAACAAATCTTGAGAAATGCGTCAGGAAAAACGCGCGTCAAAATAGATACCGGGTTTACAACGATATCAATATGAGTTTCTAGCTCTTGTGACACGAATGGACTAGGATCATATTTATCAACTGAAACAGCATCTGCATAAATAGAATGGAGAATTGCCATGAAACGCGTGACAAGCTCCACGTAGGCATCATTCCCGGTCCCTAATCTAGTAGGAAAATAGTGGTCAGGGAATGGTGGAAAAGCAGATACCACTTTTTTAAATTTAATTATATATTCATCATCATTATTCCAAAATTTTTCTTTTGATTGTTCGACGTCGATTCGTAACAAATGCCGATAAATGACCTCAAATAATGTAGAATCAAAATTTACGCGCAAATCATCAATGTAGAACTCTAGATGCCAATCAATCTCATCATCAGTTTCTTCATAGGATTCGTTATCATCATCATTTGGTGGATCGAAAAGATCGTGCTGTTCATCATCATCAAATAATTCATCTTCGACTTCACCAGAATTTTGACTTTGCGACAGTGAAGATGATGAACCGTTTGATCCTTGATTTCCTACAGGTTCGCGTGCTCTATCAAAATATCCAACTAATTCGAAACAGTCCATGTTAATATACTTCTTGAAACAAACAATAATATTGATTGAAGTGATTGAAATTATTTACTGAATTACCTTCTGATTCACTTTCATCCAATTCGCTTTCTTCTAACCCATCATTTTCTTGTTCATCGTCTAAATCTTCTTCAGATCCATCATTATTACTTCTACCACCTAAAGTGGCTTCTGTTGAATTATCTAAACGACGATGGGCTATTTCGAATGAGGCTTCTGATTCACCCTCGCCGTCAGTCCCATTTTTATCACTAATTACCACATCTTCTCTCGTATTTCGTGTTGATGTACTTGCTTCTCCTTGATTAGCTGATCCCTCACCAACTTGTTGAGACCTGCGTCCCATCATATATTCTGGTATATCTCCAAATAAATCTGGTTCATCCTCAAATAGTTCTTCCAAAAAACTATGTTGAACTAAAGGTGGTATTCCATGACGACGAGACGTCCCCGAAGCTTCTCCCCTTTCATTTCGTGATGTACTACCCTCAATCTCTTGAGTATCAGAGCTTGTAGAAGAACTCTGATGTACTCTTCGCTTCTTATTACTTGGCTCATTTGTAAAAGTTTCAGGTTCATCAGCAAAAAGCTCTTCCAAAGTAGAAAAGCCCTGTTGTATTGCTGAGGATACAATATGCCGACGAGAGGTTTCTGGCTCTAGAGATTCTGTAGGAATGTGACGACGACGAGCACTCAAATGATCTCGAGACATCGTAGTTCTATTGATCTGACGAGCTAACCTTCGCGAGATGTCTCTAAATCGCTCACACGGCCCAACACTACTTCTTATAGTTTGATTCTGATTGTCCATTGAAACGAACTTTATATTGAAACGACTAGATAGCACGCTGAATAGGTGATCCGAATTAAGCGTATGATAACGATAATATTTAAGAGCATCATCTAATTCTCTTAATAGTTGTTGGATCAACTTTCCGAATGAAGACTTCTTCCATTCAACATCGTTTTCGACGTAAGGCTTAATTATTTCGTCATAGAACGTCGATATCTTGCCATTGTCAGAAAATGAGTTCAATAATTTATCAATTATATTATGTTCCATTAAACTACCAATTGATACGCGATCTAAATTATCAGCTAACTCCAAAACACCATCACGGTAGCTATGATCGTTTTCAAGCTTCCGTACGATAGACAAGCATATCTCATCTGTTGATCTTGCATTCTCAGATATCAATCTCTTCTCTAATTTTAGAGTGACCTCATCAAGGCTGCTCGCGCTGCGACTCATAAGTGGAATATTGGCAAGTACCCGCATACCGCCTAGGAAACGTAATACGAGATGAAGAGTTGACTCCTTTTGAATATTGTAATCAGAAAGTGCGCGACTGTCCTCGAGTTGTTTGCCAGAGAATATGAGACGTTGCTGGTTCAATGGAATCCTTCCTTCCTTATTTTGAATCTTTTGCTTTATATATTCAACGGTATCAGTTGGTTCAACTTCGAAGGTGAGGGTTTTACCAGTCAAAGTCTTCACAAAGATTTGCATCTGAAACCGATCAAAAAATAATGGCCGGTCAAAACTTAACGTTAAGATTTATTAATTTGGCAAATTCAAAAGGTCATTTGCGTATTAATTATCACATGATTATTTGACTAACGCCTGAATTACGAGCTACCCCAGTAGGACTGTGAATTAGCGCCAATCAGAATCAGGTCCGGGGTCTAATACAAAATTCAGTATTAGCTGGTATATATATTGTACGTACGTACGCAGAATCTATATTATTAAAAAGGAAAATTTTAAAAGTGCATACAATATCCCCTTCACTCTAGAACTCCAAATTGAAAACGCCTCCTTTTTCAGTAAAGGCCAATCGAATTTGGCCCAAATCAGCTCAAGTAATTTTTTAATTATCGTTATGAATTTTTAATTGAGATAGATATTGGGAATTTTGGGTTTGAGCTATTTGATAATTCTATGTAGTACAAGAAAATAAGGGGCGGTTAAATTTTGCTAATACGTACGTATGTACGTAGTAAAACTACTGTATTAAAAAAAAAGTTAATTAGTGTTTGTACAACAGTTAGGAGGTACTCGATTTTGATTTGTTAACAGCCGTGATCTACAAAATTTTGGCCCGCATTACATAATTGTTTACTAATTCCGGCCGGAATTAACTTTTTATTTTTTCCATTACACATATGGGCGGAAATCTTCAATTTTGTGATTAGTTTGTGATTATTTAAGTTGAATGATGAGATTAAATAGGATTTG